TGTACCAGACAGTGTATGTGCCAGTGTATGTACCAGACAGTGTATGTACCAGTGTATGTGCCAGACAGTGTATGTACCAGACAGTGTATGTGCCAAACAGTGTATGTGCCAGACAGTGTATGTGCCAGTGTATGTACCAGACAGTGTATGTGCCAGACAGTGTATGTGCCAGTGTATGTACCAGACAGTGTATGTGCCAGACAGTGTATGTGCCAGACAGTGTATGTGCCAGACAGTGTATGTGCCAGACAGTGTATGTACCAGACAGTGTATGTACCAGACAGTGTGTGTACCAGACAGTGTATGTACCAGTGTATGTGCCAGACAGTGTATGTACCAGTGTATGTGCCAAACAGTGTATGTGCCAGACAGTGTATGTGCCAGACAGTGTATGTGCCAGACAGTGTATGTACCAACAGTGTATGTACCAGACAGTGTGTGACCAGACAGTGTGTGTACCAACAGGTGTATTACCAGACAGTGTGTGTACCAAAAGTGGGGTTGTACCAGACAGTGTGTGTACCAGACAGTGTATGTACCAGTGTATGTGCCAGTGTATGTACCAGACAGTGTATGTGCCAGATAGTGTATGTACCAAGACAGTGTAAAGTACCAGACAGTGTGTTGTACCAGACAGTGTGTGTACCAGACAGTGTATGTACCAGACAGTGTGTGTACCAGACAGTGTATGTACCATGATGTGCCAGACATGTAAAGTGCCAGAAAAGTGTATGTCCAAACAGTGTAATGTGCCAGACAGTGTATGTGCCAGGGCAGTGTATGTGCCAGACAGTGTATGTGCCAGATAGTGTATGTACCAACAGTGTATGTGCCAGATAGTGTATGTACCAGACAGTGTATGTACCAGACAGTGTAGTGCCAGTGTATGTACCAACAGTGTAAAGTACCAGACAGTGTATGTGCCAAAACAGTGTATGTACCAGACAGTGTATGTACCAGACAGTTTATGTACCAAACAGTGATGTGCCAGACAGATGTATGTACCAGACAGTGTATGTACCAGACAGTGTATGTACCGACAGTGTATGTACCAGACAGTGTATTGTACCAGACAGTGTATTACCAGACAGTGTATGTACCAGACAGTGTATGTACCAGACAGTGTATGTACCAGACAGTGTATGGCCCAAAAGTGTATGTACCAGACAGTGTATGTACCCGACAGTGTATGTACCAGACTGAAAAAATCACAATCGTCTTAAACCGTAAAATATTTAAAAAGTTTTTCCATCGCAGTCCCCATGACAGGATAGTTATGATGATGAGATGATAATGCTAAGACAGAAGGGTAGTAAGCCCATAGAAAGGTTATCTACGTTACAAATACTGCTACTACTAAATACTTTCTTGTAGATGAATGGTTCAGAGAACCGACATGTTGATAAATTAGACACATATGCAACTCTTGGGTATCTTTATTGAGGAAACGTTTCGCCACACAGTGGCTTCATCAGTCCATACAAAGGAGAATCTTGAAGAACAGGAGGAGAATGAGGGAATCAGTCCCTCAAACCTTAGTCGATGTGGTCAGTTTCCCTCACTTGAATAGAATACGGCAACGTGCGGAGAAGGAGCTTATAAACCGTTGGCAGGATCTTAATGGCAATATAAACACAAATGCAGTATAATGTGATCCTTTATTGACTACGTTTCGCCCCCACAGTGGGCTTTTTCAAATCACAACAGAACTACCTGGGTGGAAGGAACGCGAGTATTTAAAAGTCCGGCTGAGGTCAGGTGTTGTGACTTGAAAAAGCCCACTGTGTGGGCGAAACGTAGTCAATAAAGGATCACATTATACTGCATTTGTGTTTATATTGCCATCGTGTCGGTATTTTATACCATTTATTTCCAGGATCTTAATACTTGGGATCTTAATACTTGGGAATTCTTCGCTTGCCTAATTCTTGGGCACGACCTACTTCAACATTGAACAAATGTTACACGACCTATGACTGCTGCACCTCTCCTGCCAACGGTTTATAAGCTCCTTCTCCGCACGTATGCCGTATTCTATTCAAGATTGATGGACTGACCACATCGACTCAAGGTTGAGGGACTGATTACCTCATTCTCCTCCTGTTCTTCAAGATTCTCCTTTGTATGGACTGATGAAGCCACTGTGTGGCGAAACGTTTCCTCAATAAAGATACCCAAGAGTTGCACATGTGTATAATTTATCAACTACTTACTTGGCTGGGATTGTGAAATTCATACATGGCTGGGACTGTGAAATACATGGTTGTGATACGAGTGATACATTATGGATACAGTGGATACACATTTCTCTGAAGATGATTTGATGACATTTTTCTTTTGCATAATAAAATGTATAGGTGTGCCAGGTGCCAGAGTAATTGTACCGGCAAAGTTTACAAAGGCTGTAGATGGTTCGGTCTACATCGACAGTAGAAATAGGTCAATATATTAGCCTCGTAGCCGATTACTGGCTGGAAAACCCCACACGTTGTATAAAGTGTTCTTGTAGCTGGTCATTTACGTGGCAATATAAACACAAATGCAGTATAATGTGATCCTTTATTGACTACGTTTCGCCCACACAGTGGGCTTTTTCAAGTCACAAACAGAACTACCTGGGGTGGAAGGAAAGCGAGTATTTATAGTCCGGCTGAGGTCAGGTGAAGAATGCTGCATCTGATGATGTACCGAGTTGGGTTGTAGAGTCTGAAAACTTGGGTAGCTTGGAAAGGAGACTGGACAAGTTTGTGAGCAGACCTTCTACAGTGTTCTTATGTGGGATAGCGATGAAGAAGTTTCTTGGCAAGTGGTTCAGCTATGTTATAGAAGCCACTATTCTGGTTGAAGTTGTCGGATATAGAAATAAGTGATGATTCCAGGATTCTTCGGTATTGGGTGTTGTCTTCTGTGGCGATAAGTCTTGAGTTTCTGTAGTTTATCAAGTGGTTGTGTGAATTACGGTGTTGTACGCATGCATTCCTTGTGTCGTCAGACCTGCTTGCGTATTGGTGTTCTGAAATACGTGTTTGGAGGTCCCTTGATGTTTCGCCCACGTATAACTTGTTGCAGTCATTACAAGGGATTATGTATACCCCTGCAGAGGATGGAGGCTTGTCCTGCCTACTACTGGTGATGTCCTTGATGGTCGTGGTTGTGGAGGTAGATACTTGGAATGATGTTTTGGCAAAGATGTTGGAAACATGTTTGGCAGCATTCTTCACCTGACCTCAGCCGGACTATAAATACTCGCTTTCCTTCCACCCCAGGTAGTTCTGTTTGTGACTTGAAAAAGCCCACTGTGTGGGCGAAACGTAGTCAATAAAGGATCACATTATACTGCATTTGTGTTTATATTGCCATTGTGTCGGTATTTTATACCATTTATTTCCATGGTCATTTACGTGCTGCTACAACTACCCGATAATTATAGTCGACCTTTTCTTTGAGGGTTTAATACTTTGGTTATTAAGTCTATATATAATGGATAAGTATTAAGTGTATATACAATGGATAAGTATTAAGTGTGTATACTTTGGTTAACTATTAAGAGTGTATAACTGGGTTAACTTCACTTTCCCTCAAGCACTGGCCATCAATATGGAACAAAATTCGTGTGTATTCATAAGAACATAAGAACGAAGGAACACTGCAGAAGGCCTACTGGCCCATGCGAGGCAGGTCCAAGTCTCCTACCGGCTTAAGCCAATGCACCCAACCTAGTCAGGTCAGGTCACATTGACTTAAGGGAGGAACACGGCAACCGACCTGGTAGCACAAGCTATCAGGTCCAACTCACACCCACCCACATCCACTCATGTATTTATCCAACCTATTTTTAAAGCTACACAACGTTCTGGCCTCTATAACGGTACTCGGGAGTTTGTTCCACTCATCCACAACTCTATTACCAAACCAGTACTTTCCTATATCCTTCCTGAATCTGAATTTTTCCAACTTAAAACCATTACTGCGAGTCCTGTCTAGGCTAGATATTTTCAGCACACTATTTACATCCCCTTTATTTATTCCTGTCTTCCAGAGTATATACTTGTTCAGTTTCTTGTAGGTACGTCTGCCGACCCTCACAAACATATCTACATCATCACAAGAAATTTTCAACATTTACGCTCTAGGTTACCAATATATAAGTGGGCGTCTTATCTGCCACTTGCAAGTGGTAAACTGTTAACCATCTGACCCTTCAACGGAAAAGTGCATTAATGCTGGTAAAGGACTTTTCTTTCAAGGAAATGGAGCTACCCTTCCATTTTTTCCACCATTCCTGAGTCAGGCGCTCTATGACCCCTACGGATTTAGCACTTGCCCATAAATACACATTGATAATTTTATAAATAAATTTATCTGTTTACCTTGACAAGGGAGTCCAGTTATTACTTCATGTTGATGTTATATCAGTAAGGGTCATACCACGTCCTGGGGTATGCGAGATACAACAGGTTTGATCCGTGGAGAGGGCAACTCTAGTTCACTGGATCATGAGCCCGTCGTCAGCATCAGGTCACCCTCTCCCCCTCTTGATGGGGAGGAAGTTGTAAGAACTGTAGAGTGTAGCGACCTGGGAGGTCACTCAGTGTTCTTGACAACACAAAACCTAACATCCAAGTAGCCAGCAAGGTCTTGAGAATTAACTAGGCTGTGATGGGTATGTGGGCCAGCGGGCCGCCAGTAGCAATAGCCGCGTTGATCAAATGTCAGTAGTGTCTTCTCATTAATCTCAATTACTAATGTTCTCACACAGATATATGCTGTTCTTATAAAAGCCTTATCAAGTGCTTTAGTTTTGAGATACACAAAAGTAATACCTGGCCATTACAACACTCGTCAGGATGCTCACACAGTTCTAAGTGGTCTCCATGATATGTTCCGCACAGAGCATGAGAGAAACTCAATACAGGATAGCAATAAAATTTAGCTTCTTAGGAGAATGGGTTAATATAATTAGGTAGTAGATCAGCAGTTATAGTTTGGTGGTGTTGCAGCTGCAGAGCACGACGGAGGTGGAGAGTCGTGGTGTGTGCACCTCCAGGAGCTCCCTCACAACCAACACCCCCACCAGCGTTTCAACCAACACCCCCACCAGCCTCAACCCCAACAACAATTCTTCTAGCGACACACTCTTGGACTACATTCCTTCGAGTCTATCTGTTGACAAGGAAAGTCCTACCAAAGTCACCCACAGAGAGAGTCATAAAAAATATAACGGGAAGGAAAGTCCAACCAAAATATGTAGAGAGAAAGAGAGTCCAAGCAAAACATGTAGAGAGAAAGAGAGTCCAAGCAAAACATGTAGAGAGAAAGAGAGTCCAAGCAAAACATGTAGAGAGAAAGAGAGTCCAAGCAAAACATGTAGAGAGAAAGAGAGTCCAAGCAAAACATGTAGAGAGAAGGAGAGTCCAAGCAAAACATGTCACGGAAAGGAGAGTCCCATTAGAAAATGTCGCCTCAAAGACATTTCCATCAAGACGTGTCGAGGTGCGGACAGCTGCATCAAAACATGTCAAGACAGGGAGTCGCCCGTCAGAACGTGTTACGATCAGGACATCCACATCAGAACATGGCAGGGCATGGACATCCCCACCAAAACACCACACAGCAAAGACAAGTCTCCGAAAGACGCCCACAACAGGGATGACTGTAACAGAGATTTCCTGAGGAAAAGCTCCAAGGACTCTTCAGGCAACCACAGGAGCCACAAGCGCCACTCTCGCCAGGTACTTCTTAGTGGTGATTATCTGCCACACTACCCCTGTTCTTGTTTATATAACATTGCGTCTAGTCCGCCATCTTTGTTAGTAGTAATAGCTTAACAGCTGGAAGTCAGTCAACGTGATGTAGACCTCCTGAAGCTTCAAGTATTCATTGCCTTTAAGCAGCTTAAAATAACGAGGTTTTCCGTGATGCCACATGTAGGGTGCACAGTAGCACCATATAAGCGATTCCAGTAGTGTAAATATGCTATAGTGTAGATCCATTATTTCCTGAATTAATGGGAAACTACAGTGACTTCAGCAAAGTTTAGAATGCTTTCGAATACTTAATTCCAAAGTAATAGAGGTATGTTACTGTAATGAGACTTTAGACACTTTTGACTAGAAGACGGTACACATGCATGCCAAGTAGTGTTGAAGAAGTTAACTTTAATACTGTTCCTCCTGGTGATGCATGTCCAGGACACTCAAGAAGCAATTGTATGAGATACCTGGGGGCAACGTTACGTAACTTTTATTAAAGTTCCTGACGTAGCACATTTAACACTTCTGTATCTCTTGGTATTATATACCTTGTGAGAAGCACTTGCTGCTTGTTTCAACTCTCACCAGAACAAAATTATCAACTTCGACATTATGTGTAGATAAATAGTTCCGAGAACTGGCTAGTTGATAAATTAGATCACATGTGTAACACTTTGTTATCTTTATTAAGGAAACGTTTCGCCACACAGGAGCTTCATCAGTCCAGTACAAAGAAGAATGGTGAAGATCAGAAGGAGTTTGGTAATCAGTCCCTCAGCCTAGTGTCTATATCTCTCCATCAATCTTGACATGGATACCCAAGTGTTGCACATATATCTAGATTATCATCTTAAAACACAAACCTGTGTGTTCCTTTCATGTAGGTTTTGCTTCTTGTAAATTATCTCCTAGATGTTGTAATTTTATAGAAACATTAATACAGCTGAAATGCATTATCACTAATAACAAAATATATTATTAGAAATATAACGTTAAGTTGTATCTTGAGTCATCTTGTCCACACCAACCTAGACGAGTGTCGTACCTATGTGACTAGTTAAGACGATACTTCAACCTTATCCCGCTCTGTTGCCAGACTACCTTGTTTACTGACTGGTCAGCTATACTGTTACCGCCAGGGGCCCGCATGCCCACAGACACTATAACCTGGGAACTCTTAGTAGGTAGTGATCCGGTCTCCTCTTGTAGGTGTCAACACGTGTCGTAGCATATCTTAAAGGTCCCTTATTCTGTAGCATACATGTGTTGTAGCATCTTAAAGGTCACCGTTATTTTCTACCACACTGTTGTAGCATAACTGCTCTTTGTTGTTATCCAGGTTATTACTGTCTTGGAGGTCCCTAGTATAGTTATGGAGGTTATTAGTATAGCCATGGAGGTTACTAGTACTGTTATGAAGGTTATTAATATAGCCATGGAGGTTACTAGTACTGTTATGAAGGTTATTAACATAGCCATGGAGGTTACTAGTACTGTTATGAAGGTTATTAATATAGCCATGGAAATTACTAGTACTGTTATGAAGGTTATTAACATAGCCATGGAAATTACTAGTACTGTTATGAAGGTTATTAACATAGCCATGGAAATTACTAGTACTGTTATGAAGGTTATTAATATAGCCATGGAGGTTACTAGTACTGTTATGAAGGTTATTAATATAGCCATGGAGGTTACTAGTACTGTTATGAAAGTTATTAATATAGCCATGGAGCTTACTAGTACTGTTATGAAGGTTATTAATATAGCCATGGAGGTTACTAGTACTGTTATGAAAGTTATTAATATAGCCATGGGGGTCATTAGCACTGTTACGGAGGTTATTAGTATAGTTATGAGCGTTATTAGTATAGTCATGGGGATTACTAGTACTGTTACGGAGGTTATCAGTACTGATGAGTGTTACCTGGTGGTAGACTGGACAGGTTTTGCATGTTATTTTCTCCCTCAGTGACACTTGTCATATCTCAGGTGACCAATGTTGCACCTAAAGTCTTTCATGTTACAATGTAACCCACATTTGTGGCACCTGATACCTGTAATGTCTGAACTGTCACTTGCATGCGGGCTCACTTAGCATAGTAATATCAATAATGCAAATTTTTTAATGTGCAAAAACGTTTATGTTTTGTAGATTTAAATAATTAAACACGTTACATAACTTACTAAGAACGATAAAGCTGGAGAGAACACTGTAGCAGGTCTGCTGGCCCATACTTGGCAGATTCTTCTAAGATAACACCCCCTATCAAATATTCCTCAAACCTATTCTTAAAGTGGTGGGCAGGTTGACTAACATTCCCGAGGTTGACAGGAGGTTGAGACAACATCGTCGAGGTAGGCCAGACACTGCATCCCTCAGAGTTGGTAGAAGCCACCACAGCCTCGGTCAAGCAGGAACTGCTGCACCTCTCCCTCGCCAGACAAGCTCTCGAGGCTGACAAGGTAAACTCATTTGCGTTTTCAGTTTTTGGGTTATTTATATTTATAATAAAATACGAGAATGTTAGTCAAAAAAGCGTATATAACATCACTTCATAATGGTCTTATTGTGTGAGCAGCCCCAGGGTGAGACTTGGTGTTTAGGCCCCCAGGGTGTCGTACTGCAGCCAACCTTAACAAGAGACTTCAACTAAACTATCTGTTCCTCTTCCCCGTTCCCTGTGTCAAAACACTCCCCTGGTCACCTACCTCACCTGATACCCACATTACTTGTCTGTCCACTTCACCTGACATCCAGGTGACCCGACTTGCTCTGTTGCAGCTGGAGTTGACGCGGTTGTTGGAGCAGCGTGAGGGGATTATTACAGAGCTGCGGAAACAGATGTACCAGAGGGACAAGACCATTCAAGCGCAGCGAGCGCAGTATGAAGAAGTCATCAAGAACGTCCAGGTATGTCATTACTTTTAAAGAAACGTTTGCAATTGCAATGTGAAAGGCCTCAGTCAACATTTTCCTGCTCTCTGGTGCTCTCTGGTGGTGGTTGTGCACATGCATATGCACAGATAAAATATGTCGTGCCGATTTTGGCTTAAATAGCAACGCTCTTCTTGCCGAAAAAGGCAAGCGAAAAATTGCGTATGCAGTGATTTCGCAAAAATCATTCTGAACCTAACGAAAAATGTTTATGTTTGTTTATTAAATTATTGTAAACGTAGCCTAATCCAACTAAATGTATTTTAGATAAATTAAATTGCGCTTGTTATAATAAGGTTAGGTAAGTTTTCTAAGGTTCTTTTGATACAAAAATATTAATTTTTACATTAACATAAATAAAAAAATATATCTTTCAACGTATAAGAGAATTTTAGAAAGGGCTTAATCTTAAAAGTTCTTGCTAACTGACCAATTTTACCTATTCAGCAAGACATGTATATGTATGTATGTGTGTGTATGTGTGTGTGTATGTGTGTGTATGTGTGTGTATGTGTATGTGTATATGTGTATGTGTACTCACCTATTTGTGGTTGCAGGGGTCGAGTCCTAGCTCCTGGCCCCGCCTCTTCACCGGTTGCTACTAGGCCCTCTCTCTCCCCGCTCCATGAGCTTTATCAAACCTCGTCTTAAAACTGTGTATGGTTCCTGCCTCCACTACGTCATTTTCTAGGCTATTCCACTGCCTTACAATCTATGACTGAAGAAAATACTTCCTACTATTTCTCTGACTCATTTGTGTCTTCAAAATTCCAATTGTGGCCTCTTGTTTCTGTGTCCCCTCCCTGGAACATCCCGTCCTTGTCCACCTTGTCTATTCCACGCAGTATTTTATATTCGTTAAACATGTCTCCCCTGACCCTCCTGTCCTCCAGTGTCGTCAGGCCGATGTGTGTGTGTGTGTTGTGTGTGGTTGGGGGTTGATGTGTGTGTGTGTGTGTAGTAAAGTGGTGTGTGTGTGTGTGTGTGTGGTGTGTTGTGTGTGTGTGTGTGTTGTGTGTGTGTGTGTGTGTGTGTTATGTGTATGTGTTGTGTGTAGTGTGTATGTGTGTGTGTTTTGTATGTGTTGGGAGTGTGTGTGTGTGTGTGTGTGTGTGTGTGTGTGTGTATGTGTATGTGTGTGTGTAGTGTGTATGTGTGTGTTTGTGTGTGTGTGTGTGTGTAGTGTGTTGTGTGTGTGTGTGTAGTGTGTATGTGTGTGTGTGTTGTGTGTGTAGTGTGTGTGTGTGTGTGTGTGTATGTGTGTAGTGTGTATGTGTGTGTGTGTGTGGTGTAGTGTGTGTGTTGGTGTGTGTGTGTGTGTAGTGTGTGTGTGTGTGTGTGTGTGTGTTGTGTGTGTGTTAGTGTGGTATGGTGTGTGTGTGTGTGTGTTGTGTGTGTGTATGTGTGTAGTGTGTGTGTGTGTGTGTAGTGTGTATGTGTGTGTGTAGTGTGCATGTGTGTGTGTGTGTGTAGTGTTGTGTGTGTGTGTGTGTGTGTGTGTGTGTGTTGTGTGTGTGTATGTGTGTGTGTGTGTGTGTGGTGTGTGTGTTGTGGTGTGTGTTGTGTGTAGTGTGTGTGTGTGTGTGTGTGTGTATGTGTGTGTGTGTAGTGTGTGTGTGTGTGTGTGTGTGTGTGTGTGTGTATGTGTGTGTATGTGTGTTGGTGTTGTGTGTGTAGTGTGTGTGTAGTGTGTGTGTAGTGTGGTGTGTGTGTGTGTGTAGTGTGTGTGGTAGTGTGTGTGTGTGTGTGTGTATGTGTGTGTGTGTGGGTGTGTTGGTGTGTGTGTGTGTGATGTGTGTGTGTGTGTGTGGGTGTGTGTGTGTGTGTTGTGTGTTGTGTGTGTGTGTGTGTGTGTGTATGTGTGGTGGGTGTGGGTGTGTGTGTGTATGTGTGTGTGTGTGTGTGTGTGTGTGTGTGTGTGTGTGTGTGTGTGTGTGTATGTGTGTGTGTGTGTGTGTCACTGGTCTAGTATGGACGGAAAAGTTTCGTGAAGTTTCTTCTGAAAATTATGGGTTATTCCTGAAATATTTCACATTTCTTCAATAAAAACTTGTTTGACAATTAGAATCTCTCATCAATTAATATTTCTACTGAAGACTTACACTGACTTTTCGGTGTTATTATCTGACTTCGGGAAAATTTTGTTGAGGATGTATGACTATTTACCAGGACGACATATTTCTGGTGTTAGTATTAAACACATGGCAGGGTTGTCTGAGTCAGGAAATACTCGTCTTGTGGGAAATATCGCGGGTTGGATTTTCCAAGACCATTAAAAGTTGGGGGATAAAGGACGTGCAGCCTCACCCATGCCTATGTTGGGGTGCCACATTTCTTTATATACTCTTAATTTGAAATATAATCTGTTAAGAAACCCATAGACTAATGTACCATACACTACTGCTTATACGTATTTAAGCTAAGTTAGTTGCAATGATTTAGCTTAGTTATTACAACACCCGGCAGCCGTGCCTACAGCAGAAGAAGCAGAAGCAGAAGAAGAAGAAAGCACAGGACGACTTATCCTGAAGCTGCACAGTGAAGTCCTCTAACATTCGGTAACACATTACGACGCGAGTTAGATACATTTCACTGCGATAACAGGTATCTCATTGTACTAGGCGGTTACACGTGACTAATACAGGTCTCTGGAGCCATTGTCTACGTCACCCTTCCACGGGGAGTACCTCGAGTGTACTGACTGCCTGTATGTACCTTGGGGAAGATTACGTGTTAAGGGTCAAGCTACATTCCACCAGAGATCAACGGTGTAATCGTCTATCCATAACTGCCAATGTGAGAAGACAGGTACAAATACATTACTTCAGATAACTGGGGATGGGGTGGTAGGTGCCTAGTCTGGATTCCACACATGACTGGGCATGGATTACTAACTTGACCGAGGGAGGCAACACTGGCGACCGAGGGAGGCAACACTAGTAAACCTAAACCCGAAAGGGCCATAAATAATCTAGGAAATTAGAGAAGTTATCAGAATTGATTCCAGAGCATAGTGACTCCAATTCTTTGGATCAAGAGCCAGTCACCAGCATGAGGTCTTTGAAGGACGTAGGTCAGTAGTGGTGTTGCGTCCCGTCACACTGACCCCCCTCGTTGCGTCCCGCCACACTGACGAGCTTCTTGCGTCCACAGAACGGTAAGCGGGTGGTGGGAGGAGAGTGTCCTGCTGGTGGACGCTCAGCGGTGTCCTCAGCCACTAAGGAAGAACTCCAGCTGGTGAGGGACGCTATCGTCTCTCTCAGAAGTAACTTCAGGTGAGTCAACCTCGTCCTACACCCACCCGCCCACCTCCAACACCCACCTACCTTAACCTCGCAACACCCCACCCCACCTTCACCTCTCACAATCATCCAACACCACCCACCTATACCTCACACAATCATCCATCACCCACCTTTACCTCACACAATCATCCAACATCACTCACCTTCACCCCACACAATCATACTTCTGCTTCAACAGAGGTCAGTAACCGAGACCACAATAAACAGGTCTAGTTAAGAGGAACACGTGTGTAACACGTGTATCAGCCAGTCAACGTCAGCAAGGCTAACGGCCGGATTACTTTATGTACTAGCTGCGTATATCCTCGTAGTGAAGAACAACATCTGTAGGTAAAGATCCGAAGGTGTTGCTCATGTGTAATTCCTGACTGTCTTGTTGGTACCCTATGCTATTTCTGTAATGATTCTAGATAATGACTGGTTCTAGTCAATGATTCTAGATAACGATTCTCCTTAAGGATTCTAGTTGCCGCCTGTGTTTCAATTTTATGATCACGTGATTTCTCACTTTCACGTTACTAAGCTGATGAATAAGACGTGCAACACTGGGGTGTCCTTGTGGGCAGAGATACCCAAGTGTTGCACTTGTGGAATTCAAAATTATCCTATTTTCAAACTATGGCAAGCTGCTGATAATTTATCACCGGTATACTTGACCCTTCAAGACTGACAATAAGCTTCCACTTTACCAACTTTTCGCTCTGTGAAGAGCTCTTATAGAGCGAAATGTCCCTGTGAAAAGTATTTGACGTAAACAAACCATACCCCGGCCGGGATTGAACCCGCGGTCATAGAGTCTCAAAACTCCAGCCCGTCGCGTTAGCCACGGGCTGGAGTTTTGAGACTATGACCGCGGGTTCAATCCCGGCCGTGGTATGGTTTGTTTGCAATCGTGTCATTACGATTTCGTGAGTCATTTGACGTAAATCTTCGTTGCTGTTGTAAGACTTGTTTACCGCATCACGGCAGCAGCGCTGCTGCGGTGCACAGCACAGCCAGTGCTGCTGCCGTGCACAGCACAGCCAGTGCTGCTGCCGTGCACAGCAAGTGCTGCTGCCGTGCACAGCAAGTGCTGCTGCCGTGCACAGCAAGTGCTGCTGCCGTGCACAGCAAGTGCTGCTGCCGTGCACAGCAAGTGCTGCTGCCGTGCACAGCAAGTGCTGCTGCCGTGCACAGCAAGTGCTGCTGCCGTGCATCACAATACAACATAATATTTAGGAAATAATGACTATGAATTAATACTCTCGTATTACCAAAGATATTCCTTCTAATATTCCTACCCACATTTATTGCTTCGTGTACTGCATGATATTCCATGTCTGTCTCTCAATTCAGCCAAGACTGGGAATAATGGATGCTTGTACCTTTCCAGAGAGACAGATCCCAACCAGCACACACTGGACACACTTGAACAAGCCATCGCTATCCTCATAGAACGTGGGAGTAATGGTGGTAATGGTGGCAGTGGTGGTAGTAGTGACAAAGCCTCACGCCCGGGAGACAAGCGGCCTTCTGTTAATGGTATGTTCATACAACCACTTACATTATAATTCTATATACTGTGTAATGTATGTAATGAACGCTCAGTGCTCCATAACCCACATGGAAATACAAACACAGAAGGTTGACTCGTCTGTATATTTCAATCCCCTTTCTGGGATCCTCTTCAGGAGAGGATCCCAGAAGCGATCGAAATGTACAAATCAGCTTCCTGTGTTTCTATTTCCATGTGGGCTATTACTGAGCATACTTTAAGATGTATATTTATTTATATTATGGTTACAAGGAAGCGCTAAACCCAGCTGAGTAGAAAAACACACACGGGTGTAGTGGTATTTGGGACAACACACCCACGTATACTGGCTCTCAAAAGAACGGGATTCGAACCTGGGACGAGTTTAAGAGCTGGCCCATGTGTCTACACCTGCAGTAAGTAGGTAACCTGGGTGCAAATAAACTGCTTCGGGTCGCAGTCTGGTAACAAATATCAAATAATGAATATGGGAGACCAGGAATTACTTGGACAAATTCGCCAACACCTCCAAAGCCGCCAGTACCTCCAAAGGCACCAAAAACCACGTAACACAGCGCAGACTAACCTTTTACGAGTGAATTTGAATACTTTTCCCGAACGCTTCCAGGATAATGCTAACTCAGCGGCAGAACAGCAATAGACGTTTCAGCAGTTGCTCTTAGTGAGACAACGCTTCGCTCTGTGTAGTTGTATCGTCACCGGTAAAAGCTCTACGAAGTGCGAATCTTTATCCCAGTGAAAACTGCTGTAAAATGTTTTGTTACTTTCCTTCCCTGGCAAGACCTCTCCTACTCATGACTAGGTATTTACACACACACACATTGGGCATTTAATGAACACATGGCAATACCGTAGCTGCAACAGTCCACAACTAGCCTACAGTACCGTGGCTGCAACAATTGACAACTAACCTACAGTACCGTGGCGACAACAATCCACAACTAACCTACAGTTTAAACAGGAAAATTTACGTTTTCAATTCGTCCTATATCAAACATCGACACGCGACTTAGAACAACAAGTCATTTGAAGCTTCTAATCTGTGGCTTGGTTATGAATCAAGTATTTACAGATACTGGGGCATTTACTCGCATATTAGGAACTACTACATAACCTAGTTATAAAATACACGCATTTTTATCTACATTCAGAAACTGATTTCAATGAACTGTACTTTGGTTCTATTTATATACGAGTATGTATGTTTTTTTACACTATTTCTAGTGCCAATACAGTGTTTGTGTGCCCGCAGGAGTGGGCGAGCCATGTACCAAGGTGATCTACTTCACTGAACGAACAGTGACACCCTTCATGTCTACTATCAACAAGAGACTGGGTGAGATACGCTTGAGAGACTTCAAGAACATGTTTGACAGACCTGGCCTCTTCCGCTTCCACTTCAAGAGCTATGACCCAGAGTATGGTCTGGTTAAAGAAGAGGTGGGGCTTCAAAAATTTGTTTTCCAAGCATTATATATACATAGCACCCTTCAAAAGTAAAAAAAAAAAATTATAGAACCTTTGTAAAGGGCACAATTTCGGAGAAACCAGTGTTCCTTGTACATGTAAATACTGCACTTACTCTATGGACTGGATTTGAGAACTAATCAAGGCAGTTAAGAAATTAATATAATTAAGACGATTAATATTATCACTTGCAGCACAGCATTGATTGCGTACACCTCACAATTGACTCATACTGCACACTACATACTTTCACTACGTAAAACTGCACAGTATATACTCGGTCTATAAGACTGCACAACAGCACATTCCTTAATCTTACATGTTGCTCAGTCACACTTGTTTGAGCCCTCCCAAAGCAACCTCCTGGGTTGTGTTGTTTTAACAGTATCACCGTCTCCCGGGGACGTCACATTTCATAGTCGAAGTCACAAGTCACTCGCGCATTAATATCTTACAGCACTGGGGAGAAAATACATTTTGACAGACGTTTCGGTCCTGAGGCCTGGTTGATTCCACTGATATTCAGGGCACACGAAACACAGCATCACATACAAGGAATTACCAACAGAAATATGACACAGAATAATAGGGAAGTCGTATAAACCGAGGTTAGGTTAGGCAAGGTTTGTCAGGAAACAGACCAAGTGTTTCCTGACGCAAGTCTAAAGTCAGATGACATCTCAACGAGGCCTTCTGCTGGCTTATCAGTCCACATTTTTAAAAATTATGGTTATGATTATAATTATTAGGCGAGGGAGACCTTTATAGCGGAGGTAAGGGGTGAAGACAGTTGATAAGTACCTCTTAAAGCGGAGGTAAGGGGTGAAGACAGTTGATAAGTACCTCTCACGGTATCACGTCAGTCTCTCACTTCTGAGAGGTACTCCCGGCCTTACCAACACACCTTTGTTACTCTCACCTGTGCCAGCGACCTTCCTTGTATCTTATATGTTATAAATTTCGACTTTATTCCACCTGAAAAATGGAGTCCATAACAGATTTTGATTTGTTAAGTACAAAGAAAGTCACTATTATGTCGGGGCCTTTCTCGGAGTAGAGAATACGGTAAGTCAACTGGTTGGTGTGTGTGTGTGTGTGTGTGTGTGTGTGTGTGTGTGTATGTATTTATGTGTGTGTGTGTGTGTGTGTGTGTGTATGTATTTATGTATGTGTGTGTGTGTGTGTGTGTGTGTATGTATGTATGTATTTATGTATGTGTGTGTGTGTGTGTGTATGTATGTATTTATGTATGGTGTGGTGTGTGTGTGTATGTATGTATTTATGTATGTGTGTGTGTGTGTGTGTGTGTGTGTGTGTGTGTATGTATTTATGTATGTGTGTGTGTGTGTGTGTGTGTGTGTGTATGTATTTATGTATGTGTGTGTGTGTGTGTATGTATGTATGTATTTTATGTATGTGTGTGTGTGTGTGTATGTATTTATGTGTGTGTGTGTGTGTGTGTGGGGTGTGTGTGTGTGTGTGTGTGTGTGTGTGTTCGCGCGCGCGCATGCATTAACATATTTAAGCACACATTTGTTATTAATGCACTGTAATAACAGGAATAAGAGTTTAGGCTTGTACCGTCTCACTTTGTATAACAAATTTTCATTAGTTTCACCTGCCACTATTTCCTCTCTCATCACAGTTCAGGTGTCAACTACTCCATGAAGAAATATTTTACATGCATACATAACATTACGACTACTACTTCTCCATACTGCTGGTACCAAGAAATCCTCCTCTTCCAGTTTCTCGCATCTTATTTAAGAGTCTTAATGAAGTTGTTTTATCTGATCTTGTGTCAGCAAGTCAGCACATGACCAGTCACGTCTTCCTATTTTGTGCTCTTATTACTCAACTGTTAAGAATTTTTCTATAGCATTTCTTTAAATTTATTACATTTTGGCTATGCAAAATAACCTTCCAATGTGACAACATTCTAAGTGTAAAACTTTATTAAATCCAGAATAGATAAAACTCTACAAGAAGATAAACGTTTACGTAATGGAACCTCTGCATCCATTTTTTTACACCCTGTATGCAGTTTAAAGAAAAACGCTCGTTAGCATAACTGGCTTATAGTTCACCAGGAACTTACCTAGTTAACCAGGTTCTCTATTAAACACTGGTTAGTAGGTCTTATAATTAACTAGGATCTCCAGCATTAAAAAATGATTTTTGGCAATGTATATAATTTTGTCAACGAGTTTACAGTCTTTTACTAAAAGTCTCAAAAAATAACTGTAGATTATTTCTTCTCATATTCCTTAAAAACCCAAGGTGATAACTTGTCTGGTGCCACCGTTTTAAATTTATTGTTCATTAATGCTTCATTTAGTCTCTGGCAGATAGGTATTAATAAAGGGGATATTAATAAGGTCTTGAGGATGTCTCTCCAAGAGAGAACCCGCAGTAATGGATTTAAATTAGATAAGTTTAGATTTAGAAAGGACATAGGAAAGTATTGGTTTGGAAATAGGGTAGTTGATGAGTGGAACAGTCTACCTAGTTGGGTTATTGAGGCTAGGACTTTGGGTAGTTTCAAATCTAGGTTGGATAAGTACATGAGTGGGAAGGGTTGGATTTGAGTGGGACTTTCACATCAGAGCTTATTTCTTGGGTAGCATTGAAAATTGGGTTGGGTAAATGTTTTGTTAGTGGGATGAATTGTAAAGGACCTGCCTAGTATGGGCCAGCAGGCCTCCTGCAGTGTTCCTCCTTTCTTATGTTCTTATGTTCTTATATATAAAGTCAACTAATTTAATGTCAAATTTTCCATATATTAACAGAACAGTATCATTAATTTTAGTTCTTTATGTTATATCATTCACATTTAATTTGTCTTTTCTATCTTAATATAACTTTTAAACAGTTCTTCTCAGTTTCTAAAATTTTATTAACACTATTCCTCCCACACTTTTGTTTATCTGTTTCTGGCTTCTCTAATTTAGTAATTATTTTTATTACAGATTGTATACGAGGATGACATATTGCCTGGAGTTGATGGGAAGATCATTGCCTGGGTGGAAGAAGATATTGACTGATGGAAGATGGACAGGGCTGCAACAACACATCAACTAGTGGAAGACTAACATTGCCGCAACGCAAAAACTAGAAGACTGACATCGCTGCAACACAACTACTGGAAGATGACCTGGCTGCAACACGGCTAGTGGAAGATGACCTGGCTGCAATACAGCTAGTGGAAGATGACCTGGCTGCAATACAGCTAGTGGAAGATGACCTGGCTACAACACAGCTAGTGGAAGATGACCTGGCTGCAACAACACATCAACTAACAGAAGGTGGACAAAGCTGAAACCAAATGCTCCTCTTGCCATCCAGCCTAATCAATATTGTCCAAAGTAAAGTTTAACTCTGCAGTAAAGGCAAGCTAAAGAGTATAAAAATCTTTATACTCAGTAATTAGTAACTTGCCGCACGCCTGAACGGCTGGCCAAGGCCGCTAATAATACCTTCCTCATAATTATTAACTTCATCAAGAAAAAAAAAGTTGTATTTGATAGCATCCTGAACAAGAAAATTTACCAACTGAATGTTATTACAAAGCAAATTGAAATATTTCCCATGATCACTGCTTGGAACTGTTGCTTGAGAAGCCAACTATTAGTAGGGTATTCCAGGCTTGGGCAAGAATCAGAGGAAATACTGGCAAGCATTACTAACATTCTCATTGTGACTGGGAAGATTATAGGTAACTACAGTGTTAGTGCAGAGATACCCTTCTTATACCTGCCCACTTGCAGGTACACCCTTCTTATACCTGCCCACTTGCAGGTGCACCCTTCTTATACCTGCCCACTTGCAGGTGCACCCTTCTTATACTTGCCCACTTGCAGGTACACCCTTCTTATACCTGCCCACTTGCAGATACACCCTTCTTATACCCGCCCACTTGCAGGTGCACCCTTCTTATACCTGCCCACTTGCAGGTGCACCCTTCTTATACCTGCCCACTTGCAGGTGCACCCTTCTTATATCTGCCCACTTGCAGGTGCACCCTTCTTATACCCGCAGGTGGGCAGGTGCACCCTTCTTATACCTGCCCACTTGCAGGTACACCCTTCTTATACTTGCCCACTTGCCGGTGCACCCTTCTTATATCTGCCCACTTGCAGGTGCACCCTTCTTATACCCGCAGGTGGGCAGGTGCACCCTTCTTATACCCGCAGGTGGGCAGGTGCACCCTTCTTATACCCGCAGGTGGGCAGGTGCACCCATCTTATACCCGCAGGTGGGCAGGTGCACCCTTCTCATACCCGCAGGTGGGCAGGTGCACCCATCTTATACCCGCAGGTGGGCAGGTGCACCCTTCTCATACCCGCAGGTGGGCAGGTACACCCTTCTCATACCCGCAGGTGGGCAGGTACACCCTTCTCATACCCGCAGGTGGGCAGGTACACCCTTCTCATACCCGCAGGTGGCAGGTACAACCCTTCTCATACCCGCAGGTGGGCAGGTACACCCTTCTCATACCCGCAGGTGGGCAGGTACACCCTTCTCATACCCGCAGGTGGGCAGGTACACCCTTCTCATACCCGCAGGTGGGCAGGTGCACCCTTCTCATACCCGCAGGTGGGCAGGTGCACCCTTCTCATACCCGCAGGTGGGCAGGTACAACCTTCTCATACCCGCAGGTGGGCAGGTACACCCTTCTCATACCCGCAGGTGGGCAGGTGCACCCTTCTCATACCCGCAGGTGGGCAGGTGCACCCTTCTCATACCCGCAGGTGGGCAGGTGCACCCTTCTCATACCCGCAGGTGGGCAGGTGCACCCTTCTCATACCCGCAGGTGGGCAGGTGCACCCTCCTCATACCCGCAGGTGGGCAGGTGCACCCTTCTCATACCCGCAGGTGGGCAGGTGCACCCTTCTCATACCCGCAGGTGGGCAGGTACACCCTTCTCATACCCGCAGGTGGGCAGGTACACCCTTCTCATACCCGCAGGTGGGTAGGTGCACCCTTCTCATACCCGCAGGTGGGCAGGTGCACCCTTCTCATACCCGCAGGCGGACAAAAAAAAATTATGTTTTGTGAACATCGTTGAATCAGTTATTAATTTTATCTTCAGTCTGTTAGACAAAGTTATTATGCTGACCTTGTTTGTTACTGCAACTTTGTAGACAGATGTGAATATTATGTCGAGATGCATCTTATTTTGTGTGTAGTTTACTTTTCAAACTGACTTCAATGTCCAAGCCAAAGATAGCAATGTATGTATCATCTCTATATTGGTTAAATTTTAGTTCATAAGCTTACCATTAATAATTAACTGCAGCTGGCTGTTCCAAAGATCAAATTAATTACCATTCACTTGACTTAAAATGCATTGCAAAACTCTTGATATTACCAGAATGTACTTCAGTGATTGTAATATTGGGAGAGGTATATTACGTTTCCCCGTCTATTTAGGAGAGGCATATTACATTTTTCCAGCTATTAGATATAGCTTCACAGGAATGTTAAACTGTTATAGGAGAGGACTATACAAAAAAAAATCAGAAAACCAAATGATTGAAACGTAACTTGTTTGTGATGTATATTTTATATTAGAAATGTAAACATGATCTCTGCTTTTGTAGATTCTTTTCAAAATGCAGGAATATCATGGCAGTTTATCTACTTGGCAATGTAAATAATTTATTTCATTAATAAACCAACAAATTATCATCATTTAATAAAAACCCAGAGTATACTGTACATGTGTACGTTCTCGCCTTCATGTGATAACAGGGGTCGAGACTCCTCTCAGCCCCGACTCAACTTCTCGCTACTAGGTTCACTCACTCCTGGCTTTCATAGTCTTATTGTACCCCTTTTTAAAACTATGTACGTATCCTGCCTAGCACTTCTCTCTCCAGATCGTTCCACTTCCTCACCTCTAACACTGAAGAAATACTTCCTGACCTCTCTTACATATCTAAGTTTTCAACTTCCAGCTATGCCCTGTTGGTTTTCCCGTCTTTCCCTGTCTCTAATCACCCTATCAATTCCTCTCAGTAGTTTGTATGTTATCATATCCTCCCCTAGTCGTCCTGCCCTACTGTGACATCAGGTTAAGTTACTTAACCTCTCCTCTTAGCACCGAGACTAGTCTGGTTGCAAACCTCTGCTCACTCTCGCCATACTGCTGCTGCTGTATACTTTAATTTGGGTCTGACGTACAGTGTGTAGTGTCGTGAATGACTCCTCACTTGGATATATAAAATTATATAATTATGGGAGAGCGCTAAACTCGTAAGATTATACAGTGCATGTGTAGGGGGATGAAAGGTATTCAGACTTAAATCAGGGAACCGTAGCACAGGTCCAATTCCCTAGATCAAGAGCCCCTCACCAGCGTCAAGGAACCTCCCTTGAGAGGTAGGTATCTAAAAGCCAGTTTTAGATTTGCCAGACTCGCATTTACTGCAGCAGTTATTCGGTTGGTGCGTCTCCGGTGATACACTCTGTGCAATACTTACCCCAGGGTCCTCCTTGAATGATGTTTGTAACCTGTGTGTGTGTGTGTGTGTGTGTGTGTGTGTGTGTGTGTGTGTGTACACGTACGTACTCGCCAAATTGTAGTTCCAGAGGTCGAGACTCGGCTCTTGGCCCCGCCTCTTCACTGAACGCTACTAGATCCTCTCTCCCTGCTTCATGAGCTTTATCATGCCTCATCTTAAAGCTATGTATGGTTCCTGCTTCCACTACATCACTCGCCACCTGTTCCACTTCGTGACCAATACCACTGAAGAACATCCCTGTGACTCATCTGATTCTTCAACTTCCAAGTGACCCCTTGTTTCTGTGTCCCCTCTTTGGAAGAGCTTGTTTGTCCACCTTGTCTATTCCATGCAGTATTTTGTATGTCGTTATCATGTCTCCTCCAGTGTTGTCAGGCCGATTTCCCTTAACCTTTCTTCGTAGGACATTTCTCTTAGTTCTGGAACTAACCTTGTCGCAAACCTTCGCACTTTCTCTAATTTCTTAACGTGCTTGACCCAGTGCGGGTTCCAAACTGGTGATGCATACTCCAGTATGGGCCTGACGTACACAGTGTACAGTGTCTTGAAAGATTCCTTACTTAGGTATCGGAACGCTATTCTCAGGTTTGCCAGGCGCCCATATGCTGCAGCAGTTATCTGGTTGATGTGTGCTTCCGGAGACGTGCTCGGTGTTATACTCACCCCAAAATCTTTCTCCTTGAGCGAGGTTTGCAGTCTTTGGCCACCTAGACTATACTCTGTCTGCGGTTTCTTTGCCCTTCTCCGATGTTCATGACTTTGCATTTGGCGGGGTTGAATTCGAGAAGCCAGTTGCTGGACCACGTGTCCAGCCTGTCCAGGTCTCTTTGAAGTCCTGCCGGATCCTCATCAAATTTAATTCTCCTCATTAACTTCACATCATCTGCAAACAGGGACACCTCTGAGTCTATCCCTTCCATCATGTCATTCACATATACCAAAAATAGCACTGGTCCTAGGACAGACCCCTGTGGGACCCCGCTCGTCACAGGTGCCCACTGTGATACCTCATCACATACCATGACTCTTTGTTGCCTTCCTGTCAGGTATTCTCTGATCCATTGCAGTGCCCTTCCTGTTGTACGTGCCTGATCCTCTAGTTCCTGCACTAATCTCTTGTGAGGAACTGCGTCGAAGGACTTCTTGCAGTCCAAGAAAATGCAATCAACCCACACCTTTCTCGTGTCTTACTTCTGTTACTTTATCATAAAACTCCAGAAGGTTTGTGACAGGATTTGCCTTCCATAAATCCATGCTGGTTGTCGTTTATACTCTTGTTCCATTCCAGAAGCTCCACTACTCCTCTTGATAATCTCCATGACTTTGCACACTATACACGTCAGTGAAACTGATCTGTAGTTTAGTGCCTTTTTTTTAAATGGGAACTACATCTGCCATCTTCCATACCTAAGGTAGTTGCCCAGTTTCATGGGATGTGTTGAAGACTGGTTAATGTGACACAAAGAATTTCTGCTCCCTCTCTAAGAACCCACAGGGAGATGTTGTCTGGTCCCTTTGCCTTTGAGATACCAGGGTTACTTAGCAGCTTCACCACCACCTCAGTTGTGAGTATGTCATCCAGTACTTGGTGTATTTCCTGTTGGCATCCCCCTCTGTCTTGTCTTCCCAGAGTCCTTCCTGTCTCCACTGTGAATACTTCCTTTAATCTCGTGTTGAGCTCCTCGCATACCTCTATAATTTCTTCTGAGTTCCCCACCTTCTTTCCTCAGCCTGATCACCTGGTCTTTGACTGTTGTCTTTCTCCTAATGTGGCTATACAGCAGTTTTGGGTCAGATCCGACTTTCGAAGCTATGTTGTTTTTGTACTGTCGCTGGGCCTCCCTCCTTCTTTGTGCATACTCGTTTTTGGCTCTTCGACTGATCCCATTATTTTCCTGGGTCCTTTCCCTTCTGTATCTCTTCCATTCTCTAATGCACCTAGTTTTTATCTCCCTACACCTTCGGGTAAACCAAGGACTCGCTGTGGTCTTCCCATTGTTTCTATTGCCCTTTGGAACAAACCTTTCCTCTGCCTCTTTGCATTTTGTTGTTACATATTCTATCATTTCATTTACTGACTTTCCTACCAGTTCTCTGTCCCAACAAACCTCCTGCAGGAAGTTCCTCATACCTGTGTAGTCCCCCCTTTTATAGTTTGGCTTTTCCCATTCGACTCCTGTTACCCTCTCCACTTGCAGCTCTACTATGTAATCAAAACTCAGAACCACGTGATCACTAGCTCCAAGGGGCCTGTCATATGTGATGTCCTCAATGTCTGAACTGCTCAGGGTGAACAAGGTCCAATCTTGCTTGTTCATCCTCCCCTCTCTCTCTCTGGTAGTGTCCCTGACGTGTTGATGCACGAGGTTTTCCAGTACCACATCCATCATCTTGGCTCTCCATGTTTCGGGACCTTCCATGAGGCTCCAGGTTTTCCCAATCTATCTTGTGGTTGAAATCACCCATAACCAGTAACTTTACTCTGCACGATTGAGCTCTTCGTGCCACCTCAGCCAGTGTATCCACCATCACTCTGCTGTTCTCTTCGTATTCCTCTCTTGGCCTCCTGCAGTTCTGTGGTGGGTTATACATCACTGAAGTGACTACCTTATGTTCCCCAGACTGAATTGTACCTACTATAAAATCCCTTTCTCCAATCTCGTCCATGCCTTCTATTTCTTCAAAACCCCATTGGTTTTTCATGAGCAATGC